AGAGAATCTTAAAAGCTGCAAGAGAGAAGCATCAAATCACCTATAAGGGAGCCCCAATCAGACTAACATCAGACTTTTCATCACAAACACTAAAATCCAGAAAGGAATGCAATGATATATTCAAAATACTAAAAGACAGAGATTTCCAGCCAAGAATACTCTACCCTGCAAGGCTAACCTTCTGAAATGAAGGGCAAATAGTATATTTTTCATACAAACAAAAACTGCAGGAGTTCACCACCACATGACCACCCTTACAGGAAATTGTCAAGGGAGTACTGGGTTTGATTCCTGAAAAATAACTACCACTGCCATAAAATCCCAAGAAAAATCAAAACCCACTAGTATAATAAAAATGGCATTCATGAAGAGAAAACAAACAAACAAAAAGGCTATCTACAACCTAAGGAACCAACAAACACAGAAAACAAACTGTAAATCAGGAAGCAAGGAACAAAAGACACCTAAGACAATCAAACAACAATCAATAAAATGCTAGGAATAAATCAACACTTGTCAATAACAACTCTTAATGTAAAAGGCTTAAATTCCCCAATCAAAAGACACACACTGGCTGACTAGATTAAAAAGGAGGACCCAACTATATGCTGCTTTCAAGAGACCCACCTCACCCACAAAGACTCACATAGACTAAGAGTGAAAGGATTGAAAAAGATTTACCATGCAAACAGAAAGGAAAATGAGCTGGAGTAGCTATTCTTATATCTGACAAAGCAGACTTTAAACTAAAAACCATAAAAAGAGACAATGAGGGACACTACATAATGATAAAAGTACTGATCCATCAAAAAGACATAAAAATCATAAATATATACACACCCAATGTTGGAGCAGCCAGATTTATAAAACAAACTCTATTAGGCTAGAAACTATACAAACACATGGAAATTAAGCAGCATTCTACTTAATGACATATGGGTCCAAGAATAAATCAAACAGTAAATAAAAAATTTATGGAAACTAATGAAAATAATGATACCTCATACCAAAAACTGTGGGATACTGCAAAAGCAGTATTAAGGGGGAAATTCATTGCATTAAATACTCACTTCAGAAGAATGTAAAGATGGCAACTGAACAACCTCACACTTAACCTTAAAGATCTTGAAAATCAAGAATAATCCAAACCTAAATTTAGCAGACAGAAAGAAACCACTAAGAGCAGAGCAGAACTTAATGAAATTGAAACCCAAAAAACAATACAAAAGATCAATGAATCAAAAAGGGGTTTTTTTTGTTTGTTTGGTTTTTTTTTTAAGATGACCGGTAAGGGGATCTCAACCCTTGGCTTGGTGCTGTCAGCACCACGCTCAGCCAGTGAGCCAACCGGCCATCCCTATATAGGATCCGAACCCACGGCCTTGGTGCTATCAGCACCGCACTCTACCAAGTGAGCCACAGGCCGGCCCAAAAAGTTGTTTTCTTGAAAATATAAATAAAATTGACAAAAAAAAATAGCATGGCTAATTAAAAAGGAGAGAAGATTTAAATAACAAAAATTAGAAATGAAAAGGGTGATATTACAACTGATTCATCTGAAATAAAAGGATTGAAACCCAAAAAACAATCCAAAGATCAATGATTCAAAAAGTTGTTTTTTTGAAAAGATAAACAAAAATGCCAAAAATATTTAGTATGGCTAACTAGCAAAAGAAGAGAGAAGATTCAAATAACAAAAATTAGAAATGAACAAGGTGATATTATAACTGATTCATCTGAAATACAAGGAATCATTTGAGACTAATATAAACAACTATATGCTAACATGTTTGAAAATCTGGAGGAAATGGATAAATTTCTGGACACACACAAGCTCCCAAAACTGAGCCATGAAGATGTAGAAAATCTGAACAGACCAATAACAATAGAGGAGTTTGAAGCTGTTATCAGAAAGCTCCCAACAAAAAAAAAAGCCCAGGACCAGATGGATTCACAGCAGAATTTTACCAAACATTCAAAGAGGAATTGACACCGATTCTTTACAAACTATTCCAAAAGATTGAAACAGACGCAAATCTCCCAAACTCATTCTACGAAGCAAACATCATCCTGATACCAAAACCAGGTAAAGATGTAACCAAAAAAGAAAACTACAGGCCCATATCCTTGATGAATATAGAAGCAAAAATCCTCAATAAAATACCAGCAAACAGAATACAGCAACCCATACATAAAATTATTCACCACGATCAAGTGGGATTCATCCCAGGGATGCAAGGTTGGTTCAACATATGCAAATCAATAATTGTGATACACCGCATCAATAAAAACAAAGACAAAAACCATATGATCATCTCTATAGATGGTGAAAAAGTATTTGATTAAATTCAACATCCTTTCATAATAAAGATTCTCAACAAGCTAGGCACAGACGTAAAGTATTTTAAAATAATTAAAGCCACATATGATAAACCTGGTGCCAATATCAGCCTGGAGGGGAAAAGCTGAAAGCTTATCCTTTAAGAACAGGAACTAGACAAGGATGCCCACTCTCACCACTCATATTCAACATAGTGTTGGAAGTACAAGCCAGAGCAATAAGAGAAGAGAAGGAAATAATGGGCATCCAGATTGGAAAAGATGAAGTCAAACAGTTCCTGTTTGCAGATGACATGATCCTAGATATAGAACAGCCTAAAGCCTCTACAAAACAACTCTTGGAGGTGATAAATGATTTCAGCACAGTAGCAGGAAACAAAATCAACACACAAAAATCAGTAGCATTTCTATTCTCTAATAGCGAACATGCAGAAAGAGAAAGCATGCCCATTTACAATAGCCACCAAAAAAATAAAATACTTAGGAACTGAGCTAACCAAGGATGTGAAAAATCTCTATAATGAGAACTACAAACCACTGCTGAGAGAAATTAGAGAGGATACAAGAAGGTGTAAGGATATCCCATGCTCTTGGATTGGAAGAATCAACATAGTGAAAATATCCATACTACCCAATGTGATATACAAATTCAATGCAATCCCCAACAAAATTCCAATGATATTTTTCTGAGAAATGGAAAGAACTATCCAGACATTTATATGGAATAACAAAAGACCACGGATGGCCAAAGCAACCCTGAGCAAAAAAATACAGCTGGAGGCATAACACTACCTGACTTTAAAATATACTACAAAGCTATAATAACCAAAACAATATGGGACTGGCATAAATACAGACACGCTGATCAATGGAATAGAATAGAGAATCCAGAAATCAACCCACACACCTATAGCCATCTGATCTTTCACAAAGGCTCCAAGCCTACACACTGGGGAAGAGACTGCCTCTTTAGCCAATGGTGCTGGGAGAACTGGATATCAATATGCAGGAGAATGAAACTAGACTCATACCTTTCACCATACACTAAAATCAAATCAAAATGGATTAAAGAATTAAATAAACACCCTGAAACAATAAAACTTCTTAAAGAAAACACACCTTGTACTAAAATCAACTCAAAATGGATTAAGGATTTAAATATACACCCTGAAACAATAAAACTTATTAAAGAAAATATAGGAGAAACCCTTCAGCAAATAGGGCTGGGCACAGGCTTTATGAATATGACCCAAAAAGCACGGGCAACCAAAGGAAAAATAAACAAATGGGACTATATCAAACTAAAAAGCTTCTGCACAGCAAAAGAAACAATTAACAGAGCTAAAAGACAGCCAACAGAGTGGGAGAAAATATTTGCAAAATACACATCTGACAAAGGACTAATATCCAGAATATACAAGGAACTCAAACAACTTTAGAAGAAAAAAAACAGCAACCCAATTAATAAATGGGCAAAAGAACTAAATAGGCATTTCTCTAAGGAAGATATACAAATGGCCAACAGACGTATGAAAAAATGCTCAACATCACTCAGCATCCAGGAAATGCAAATCAAAACCACACTGAGATACCATCTCACCCCAGTTAGGATGGCAAAAATCCAAAAGACGCTGAAAGATAAATGCTGGCGTGGCTGCGGAGAAAAAGGAACTCTCTTACATTGTTGGTGGGAATGCATAATG